GCTGATGGGGTTATTTGGGGTTCTGGACCCCCCCCCCCAAAAAAATAACGCCCGAATATAACGCCCCGTCTACCGTCTTCACCCGAATATAACGCCCCATCATTATAGCTGTATTTTGCACAATTTTCAGCCCAGATACGGCGATAATTACTGGGCGTTCTATTCGGGTGAAGACGGTAGTCAAGAAAGACACATGGTGAACACTCTCACGCCTTCTTCTGTTTGGTCGAAGGGTCCCTGACCTGCATTGATCACTCCTTAGTGGAGGATCGACTGTCAGCTTGCCCTTCCCTACTCTTCCTCTCAGGCCCATTTCGGGTCCTGTCTGATATTGCTTGGCTTAATGAGAACCGTGGGAAGTCCCGCCTTCAGCCCTGCTGTTCCACTGTCATATTCTTCTTGGTGCCACATATCGTGGCGGCTCTGACTGATGCCACTTCTTCCAATCCAGCCTGTTGTCTGTTATGGTGCCGATCTTGCCCCGTAACAACCAGCCTCTCCAGAATGTCCTTCTCTTGATTGCAAGCTTTTCTGGGCGGTGTTTTGTTGAAGCGGCCACCTTACGCCAGTTGCTCCGGATTTCACTTTCCACCATCCTCAGTAGTAAAGTCCACATATCCGCTCTTGCCATGTATGTCCCCTCGATCGTCTGTGTGCATCTGCTTTTCCAGATGGCCCAGAGTGTCAGCTTCCGGAGTAACTTGAACCATATATCCTTGCTTGATGCCTTGGAGATTTCTGGAGGTGTTAGCGAGAAGTAGAGTAGTTAGGGGGGGTAGTGCCGGGGGGTGGTGAAAGAGAAGAGGGTGAACTAGAGGACCCAGATCTTGTTCCGGAACCAGGCTGCTTCGGGGCAGAAGAGAGACACAGAGAGGGATATCTTCCAATGCGCTGGTATTGCACATTACGCATAGTTCTTAGTTATTGGGATTCGAGTCATCCGATTGTTTTCTCCTTTGATCCATGGATTGCAGAATAGGGGTTGTCTGGATACTTCTTCCGTGTTGCTGGGAGCACTGTGTTTATTCGGCATGAGTTGGCGCCAGGCTTTCAGGGTAGGCGTCCGAAAATGGGTTCGGCGTGGGGTTGGCCTGATGCGATGATTGTGGTTGAGTTCTTCTCGACCTGCGTGTTCTGATAGGCCACTCTTTGGCCATTATCCCAAAAGAGACTGCTCATGTTGTGTGTGTGGGGGGGGGGAGGCAAACAGGTGCTAGGTTCCTTATGCTGTGTCCAAACGCCATTTTAGTTCAGGGGAGGGACTGCCTCGTTAGAATTTTGATTACCCGCTTCATCTGGAGTGCGATGGCTTCCTGTTTTGGGTCTATTAAGCCCAAGCCTCTTTCATGAATCATGAGGTTTCCTGGTGATGTAATGCCATGCCACTTTGTTGATGCAGGTGGTTCTGTTAGGATCCCGGTCACTCTCCAAATTGATTTTTTGTTGTTGTTTCGAAAGAAAAAAGGATTTGTTTTCACAAAAAAAAGAAGAAGGAGATGGCACATTGGCGTCTGTTTCTGCGTTGCTCTGATAGCTGTGCATTTCTCTTTTCTTCTTCTTCTTCTTCTTCTTCAGAATCTTCTTCCAGACCAGGCCTCACTCTGACTCCTGCTGCTGTTTCTCTTTACCCTACTACTATGATTTGATGTTATGGGTGGTGCAGAATCTTGAGGAAGGCTTTGTGCTGGACTTCACCGTTAGGAGGTGTAAAGGGGTGCTTGAGATGGCAGAAGTGACCTTGGATATTCGTTCAGCTGGACACTGGTTTGGTGGGGGTCACTTCATGAAGCAGCACTGGCCGCTGAATCGTGGGGCTTTTGAAGTAAGTAACTGTGCTCCTGTGCTTTCCTAATGTAGTAGTGTGTTAGTAACCAATCACTGTGCATCCTTGCTAAGCAAGCCAGCTCCAATGAGCTGTGCTCCTGTGCTTTCCTAATGTAGTAAGTTTTTAACGAATCGATGTGCGTTCTTGCAAATCAAGCCAGCTCCCATGAACTTGCTCCTCTCTGCTGTTGGTTGGTTAGTTGGGGGGGGTCCATCATCTCTTCATGTGACAAGGACAAAGGGCCTCGCTACACTGCTCAGCAGACGTTGAAATTGATGAATGTATCTTCGTCGAAAAAAGGTGCAAGATACATCCTCTAGTATGAATAGATGCAGATGTATCTTGCCACCTTCTATCAAGTTCTATGTGAAGATGCACTTGCCATTTTTCAGGTTTGGGTGAGCGGTATGGCAAAGACTCTGAACGATTTTATATCATTTTAATTTTATTTGGGGCAAGATGATATCTAACTTCGCATGAAAGAATTTCTACCACCATGCCGCCGAGGCCCGGGAAATCTGATCGGCTTCCAGGGAGGGGCCTAACTGTTTGTAATGGACTCTACTACTGTTTTTGCTACGGATGGGCAAGAAAGGTTTGGGCCTTTTTTTTTTTTTTTTTTGGTAATAATAGCAGGGCCAAGATTCCAGGGAGGCTCGCGTGCGAAGTTGCAAGAAAAGAAAATGTGAGCCTTTTCTTTGGATGAGTGCTTCACCAATACGATCGAATGCTGTTCTGTATTGTCTGTGCTGCATACAGCGTGAACTTAGTGAGAAGGTAAAAAAAAAAAAAAAAAAAAAAAAAAAAAAAAAAGCCTTAGTGAGCAGCTGCAAAATATATCATTGTTGCTATTTTAGTATTTTTCGCCTGTTTTGTTTTGGTTTTGCAAACTTTCCATGTTTCTTCATCTGTTTTGCATGGGTTCGCTTTTGGCGAAAATGGCCTCTACGGAGTCTTGAGGCGCTTGCCTACCATGTGTTGTCCTTCCCTTCCCACCCACCCATTTTTAAGTGATGCGGGTAAATTTTCTGAAAATGTGGCATGTTGTTTCGGGCAATCATCAATGTGTGCACGTATATCGATCACTGAAAAAGTTTTGGAGATATCTGTCTGTAGGGCGTGGCATAGTTTTTGGTTTCTATGTCTTCTCTGTCTGAGTGGTCCCACGGCAGCTGCTGGATGCCCGCTGCAAAGCTTTGAATGCATAGTGGGCAGAGGTTACAGTGTTATGATGTGCGTTAGCTCAGAAAGGATTCTAAATTCGGGTTTCTGTCTGAACACGTCTGAACATGGTGGGTGGGATTTCATTTTATTCATGAAAAGTTTTTTGGACTGTTCAATATGTGTGTGTGTGTGTGTGTGTGTGTGTGTGTGTGTGTGTGTGTGTGTGTGTGTGTGTGTGTGTGTGTGTGTTGCCATGCTTTCTATACACAACTCCGTAAAAAAAAGCATCACCGTGCCAGGCTGTTTTGGCGGACTTACACCGACTCATGAGGAGGTTGAACCCCGACAGTCTACTCAGGACGCATGTGACTGATGGATAAGAACTCACCACGCCGCCCAGAGTTAGTGATACCCCTGTGTGTGTGTGTGTGTGTGTGTGTGTGTGTGTGTTTGTGTGTGTGTGTGTGTGTGACACTTTGCTGGTTGATCCTTTGCTGTCCCATTTATATTTGATAATGGGCAAATTACACCCAGCGCATGTGGTAGAATGGTACACTACTACACACACATGTGGCTCTTAGTAAACGAACAGGTTATGAGCTTGAATCCTGAATGAATCGCATCCATATAGTAAGGTTAGGGGCCTATCTCCTTTCGGCAATTGGCCCAATTTATTCATGTATGTTTTGGAACTGTGTTGAATGTGTCTCTGTCTATCTGTGTGACATTGGTGTGATACTTTGCAGGTTGGTCCTTTCTTCCCGTTTGATAATGGGCCTAATGGGCTGAACACCCTGGCCACACCTCAGTGGGTGACAAGCAAAGGACTACTGGTGCTTGCGGACGCAGACATTCCCTTCTTGCACGTCGGTATGAACGCTCCTCGACCTGGGCCGTACGATGGCTGGATCCAACGATCATGGGGTGTTGGGGTCAGTGCCTTCTCTGAGCCCTCATATATGTTCCGCCAAATTTTCGACAACCTTCTATGCTACATATGACAACTGTAGCCTGAAGGTGGGAAATGGGTCAGGTCTTCAAAGTTGAGATCGTGTTCATTGGAAAGAAGAAAAAAAAAACAAAAACTGAGGGTCTTTTTTTTTGTTTTTTTTGAGCCCTCCCTTGACCTCCTCCCTGATCTAAAGGGCCCCTCTTTAATCTTGAAGTCTTACTCGTTGTGCCGAAGGGAATATGGAAAAGCTTACTTGTGGGTCCCTGCCCATGATACTAGCTTGTGCTCACCACAGACAAACTACCTTCTTCTTCTCCCCCAAAGACCGTGCCCGAGCATCATCATGGCTGTGGTCCTGACCAGAACAGCATCTTCTGTACAATCATGATAATGGTGCGTGATGTTCCGGCGAAGACTTTAGGATCAATCTGATCGTCCTGCGTCAATTCGATTACGGATACATTTGATCAGTTGATGATGCCAAACATTGTCGCCTCTTCTACCTGTGTCACACGCACCATGTTCCAGCTGCTGCTGGAGTGTTGTCCTAGCCTCTTTTCCATATGCTTGATTTTGCCCGATCCTCGCTTCCACATTTCGTAAGCAATGAGTATGCCTGAGCCTTGTTTCCCAGTGGTTGATTTCGCACGCCGGGGGACTGTCGAACTATTGTAGTCTTTGTAGGGCAAGAGTGTACGGGGCACCACTAGCCTTTGTGCTGGTTCAGTAACTTAAACCTGTCCGTGGCTCCATGTTAAGCGATGCGGGGGGGTGCACACCCCTGGACTGCCGAACTATTGTGGGGCAAGGATCTACTGGGAACCACTGGCCTCTGTGCTCATTCAGTAGTTTAAACCTGACTGTGGCTCCATGTTAAGCGGTGTTTTTTTTTTGTGGGGGGGGGTGGGCACACCCCGGGACTGCCAAGCGATTGCGGGGCAAGGGCCTAGCGGGGGGGGGCACACCCCGGGACTGCCAAACGATTGCGGGGCAAGGGCCTAGTGGGCACAACTACCGTTGTTCTGGTTCAGTAGCTCAAACCTGACCGTGGCTCCATGCGGCATGGGGTACTATGGGGCAGGGAGGGGCTTTGTTGCTGTGTAGTGGTGGAGGATTTTCAATGGGGTGTGGAACATCTGTGGCAGCTGGAGGCTGTCCCTGTCGACACTGGACTATAAGCCACTTGGCGTGTCTGCTATTCATTCCGCAGATTAGCCGAGTCTACGGTGCCTTTCTGTCTTTTTCTTTTCTTGTCTTCTTTTGTCTTCTTTTCTTTTCTATTTTTCTTTTCTAACTCCAGAAGAAAAGGAAAAGGGAAGAACGATGTGCGACGATGTAAAAAGTCTGTGACGCTACGGTTTACGACTTTATGTGTGGCGTGTGTGGGATTGCTTTTATTGACGAAAGAAAGAAAGGAACAAGTGTGGCAGTACCTGGCATTCTTGCCACATCTCTCATGCCAACTCTCTCATACAAGGTATGATATGGTTTTTCTTTTTTTTTTTCGCCCCTTGAAATTTATTCTATGTACCTATAATAGGTCATATATCTATATTCTTATATAGACACAGAAAAAGTTAAAAAAACTGAATGACTGTACAAGAAAAACAAACATATGTCTTATGAATTATGTATGTCTTTTCAGAACAAACATGTTGATTACCATGTTTTGTCACTTTGTGAACATTGGTGGAAGCTTAGCTTCACAGGACAGTGTATGATGGAGAACAATTGTCAATTACATGGGGGTTTATCTTTTATGTCTGCAACATGGCAGCAGCAGATTAACTGCCGACAACAACTACGGTAAGGGATGACAGGAAATGGGAATGTTTGAAATTTGAATTAGCAAGGTGGATGTTTTCAATTTTGTCCTGCGGAAAGATCAACAAGCAGATATAAAAAGAGAAACGGAAATAACGAACGAACGGAGGGATAAAAGAAAAGAAACTCAATTGAGGAAGCACTCTCCCAACGCCAACGTTGACCAACAGTTGGTGTGAGGTGAAACTGCGAGATTCACTCTTTGTTTTCTCCATTTGATAGCCACTTGTTGTAAGTTGAGTGTTGGAGAGATGTTGGAGATTATCCAAATTCTGGTGCTCGACTCTTTTTTTTTTTTCGCTATGTATCGGTGAACTTATCGCTTATCATATTATTGATTAATTAGGTTTCGTAAAGTAATTGATACAACAATAGGATAGCAAAAAAGAAAAAACAAGAGTAGATATCCCATGAACAAAGTCATAGCTTCGTCCTCAGTTTGATATGAAACTCTTTTTTTTTTTTTTTTTGCTGCGTGGGTGCTGGGCCAGTGTGTTGGAATCAGAGAGAGCTGCGGTCAGTTTAAGCTCTCTATGGCAAATGGCAAGCTTTGGTAGGTGACTACTGATCAGTAGTGTTTTTTTTTGTTTTTTTTTTTAATCACTCGATCGGCCTCCTTTGATAATGAGAAGGTGTGTGGAGCTTCCATAATACTCGGGGAGGGAACCCGACCCAGCCAGGAACTGAAGGGCGCAGTCGCAAATCGATGGCGGAGGGCGGGGCCTCTGCGCAACTCTGTTGAGAGAGCGAAACGTTCATGTCGAATATTGCCAGATCTTTGTCTGGTGAAGGTTGGTTGCCCCGCTACTGAGAACGAAAGTTTATTGTTTTGAAATTTGAATTGTGTAATCTCCTTTGCTCCTGTTTTCATTGCAGGTCCAGAATCTGTCCAAGGAATACCTCCCGCTCACATGCAGAGGCAATGGGGATGGAATGCTGCGATTGCAGGTGGGAGAATACTCACTCCAACCGTATCTCTTTTTCAAGTTTTTGAAAGTTTTTTTAAGTTTTTTTAGGTGTAATAACCCGTCAGAATACAGACTGAGAATACTGCTGATTTCCTAAGTTCTGCAAATGGAATGGATCCCTTGCTGAGATTCCCGCATTCTGCTGGGATTTCTAAGTCTGTGTGTGTGTGCACTTGTAATCTGTGTGCCTGTATGAGTGTTTACTGGTATGTGTGTGTGTGCGTGCTTG